TACCTTGAGGACCAAACCTAGTTGTACTACTTATAAGTAGGTTTTAACATGGGTTTAACATGGTTTTAACATGGCTAAGTAACTTATAAGTAGGGTTAGGGGTTGGTGAACTTATAACCTACTTGTACCTACTTAAGGCCTAGATAAGTTAGTTAGTAAGTTAACATAAATAGGTTTGCTTAATTCTATTTTTTCGGGTTTAAGTAGGGCAAGTAACTTATTTCTACTTATTTCTACTTATTTTTACTTATCCTAGTTATGTTTTCCTTGCGAATTTTAATGTTTGCAGTGTCTTGCCAGAAATTTTGCGTCAATTTGCAAGGTTTTTGAAAAATCGCCGTACATGTGGTTATTTACATATTTCCTGTTTTTTAGATCTATTTTGCACTGTGAACGATTCTATTTGGATTTTCGTACTTTTTGTGTCGGCTGCTTTGTTTGTGTCGAATTTGAAGATCCATGTGGTGAGTTTGATAGGTATAGAATATGTTTTCTTTTCTCACGTTATGTGTGTTTATAAATGCTGTAAGTAAATGAGCGGTGTGACCGCTGCACGCGGCCGCTGCACGCGTTTGTATGTTTATATAAAAGCTGTAAGTTAATGAGCGGTGTGACCGCTGCACGCGGCCGCTGCACACGTTGGTGTGTTTATAAATGCTGTAAGTAATTGAGCGGTGTGACTGCTGCACTCGGCCGCTGCACGCAGCTGGTGAGCCAACACCCCCTGAAGGCAGACGATATTTACAACTTGACCTAGCAACAGCTGATTAGGTTCAAAGCTATACAAACGTAAATGCACACCAATGAAAAATGAAAGAAATGTCAGAAGTGTTGGCTTTTTTGAACAATCCATTGCTGCAATGGATCCTGCGGCGCCGCTTTTGCGACAGACGGCGAAGAAGAAGCCGGAGCCAAAGCCTGTGCCAACGGAGCCTGCTGCTGTGCTTTTGCAACAAACACCGAAGAAGAAGCCCGAGCCAAAGCCGGCAGAACCTGTGGCAACGGAGCCTGCAGCGCCGCCTTGGCGACCGGAGTCGAAGAAGAAGTCTGCACCGGCTGTTGAAGTTGAGACGGCATCCAGTTCGACAGGACCACAAGCTACTGCACCCATGGAGCCTATGTCAGAGGAGCACTGGGCGACTGCGATTGCTGCGGCATTCGCGTTGGGTGGGATGACAGCTTTGGAGGCCCCTTCAAAGCCAACAGGACAACCTGGTTGCCTGCGTGCGCAGGGCCGTGTACATTGAATCTATCAGCGGTGTGCCCGCTATACTATATTTTCTGAGAATAGTGTGTATATATATATATAGTTTTTCTTGCTTGAAATGATCTATATATATACACAAACGAGTTTATGTGACAGGTGAAGTTCAAGCTGACCAAACTTCAATTTCTTGTCTGGTGACTTTTGAGAGGACTGCCAGCAGCTCCTTCGACCTTGCAGCCACCGCCAGCTGTGTCCGCACCTGCTGCTTGTAGTGGAGTTGGAGATCTACCTGCCCCGCCACCGGCAGCGCCATTCCTTCCAGGCTCTCGTGTGAAGGCAGCGCCACTGCCTCCGGTTCAAAGACTTGATGGAGCGCCGCCCCTGCCACCGACAGCACCATTCCTTCCAGGCTCTCGTGTGAAGGCAGCGCCCCCGCCTCCAGCTGAAGAGGCGTGGAACCGCACCTTGAGTTGCATCCTCATTACTTCTTGCACCAGCACAAACATTGGTTTGATAAAGACGCTAGCCCTTGTCAGCGGTGTGGCCGCTATTCCACAATGTGCAAATGGTGTGGTCGTTAGGTTTGAGGTTCTTGTTTGTACTGAGTCTGGGGTGTTCTGCTGTGGCAGCATTTACTGAGGTAGTGACGCCGCAACTGGTTGCTTTGTCGAGGATTGGCTACCGGGCGAATCTACGCGGCAGCGGCAGACAGGCTCTTTGGGGTGAAGCGCGCTAGAGGCGGCCAGAGGAAGCATGAATGGTACACCTGGTGACCGGACTGCTGCGGTGTGACCGCTGAAAAAAGTAGAACCTTTCATGGATCGGGGCGCTTGGTGACTTGTAACAGCGGTGTGCCGCTATAGTTTGTTTGGTAGCGGTGTGTCCGCTCAATTAGGTTTTTGTATAGATTGGTTTCAAGATTGCACTTGGCTGCTGATGAACCAACGGTCAAGACTTTGTTTTCATAGTAACATTTCGGCTGCTGTGAACCTGACAGCCATACCTATATATAGGCCAGCGTATGGCAGCTGAACGCCGCAAACAACAAAATTATCAGTCTTTCGTTCACTATCTGACTGGTCCTCTGTGGGATGGATTGAACCAGTACCCAAAGGAGAAGCCCACGGGCTTGTTGCTACGACACCTGTGGCTGCTTGGTCTTCGCTGCCCCTCAGAGAGCACGTTCGCTGTGATCAATAGCCTCCTGAACCTGACCAGCGCACCCAACAGGCCCAAGTCGACCATGGAAAAGTATGAGGCCCTCCAGCAGCTCAAGAAGGATTGGAAG